TTTCGCTTCCAATTTTAGTAAATGATAAATCTAAATATGTTAATTTACAATTAGATAAATCAACAAATTCTAAATTTTTGTTTCCATTTAAATCTAATTTTGTTAAGTTTGAAAAATCAAGTTTCTTAAAATTATTTTTTGATAAAATTAAAGATTCTAAATTTGTTAAATTTTCAAAAATGGATGAAAATTCATCATTCATTGACATGTTAGTTAAACTTAAATTTGTTGTTTTTGTTAAATTATCAACATTTTTAATACAATTAAAATTAGAATTTGAAATTTGTAAATTTTTAATTGAATTAAATTCAACATTTTCAATATTTTTACAATTTAAATTTAAATTTTGTAAATTATTTGAAATTTTTAAATTTTTTAAAGAATCGCAATAAATTTCTAAATTTTTTAAATTATTATTATTAATATTAATACTATTAATACCATTATTAATACCATTATGTAATATTAAACTTGCTAAAGATGGTAATTGATTACAATAATTAAAAAATTCATCAGTTAATGTAAGATAAAATTCAATATTTTTTAAATATTTTAATTCTAATAAAGATTTATAAAATTGATTTAATTCTTTTTCATCCAATTTAGTATAATTAGTTAATTTTAAAAAATTTAAATTTTTAAATTTATAAATTTGTTTTCCATTTAAATTATAAATATTTGAAATGTGTAAATATTTTAAATTGCTATTTAAAGTTAAATTTTCTAAATCATCTTCCATAACATTATAAGAAAGAATTAATTTTTCTAAATTTAAATTTGCCATTTTAGATAAAGTATCTTTTGTAAAATAATTAATATTTAATGATTTTAAATTTTTAAAATTAAGTACTAAATTTGAAGTATTTTTATAATCATCTCCAAAATGACAAGTTAAATTTTGTAAATGTTGTAAATTTTCTATTTGAATTAATTTTAAATTACAATTTGAAATTTCTAAATTTGTTAAATTTTTTAATAAATGAATTTTCTTTAACAAGCCTTTTAAAAATTACAAAAATTAATTAAATAATTAAATAATTAACATACTATGAGGTTTAATATTTTTTAAACTTGTAATTGAATTTAAACAATTATTTTCACAACATGAAATAAAAGATTTAATATTTTCATCACTATTAATTATATTCATAGTTTTAACAATTGAACATGAACATCTCAATTCATTACAAATAATAAAATTAAATTTTTTACATATTAATCTATAATTGTGAAATAGAAATTTAAATTCAAAATGATCTAATATTAAACAAAGTATTTCATTAGGTAATTCTTCTAATAACATGTTGTTATTATTTATGATATTTTCATTATGATTAATTTGATTAGATGTCATCTTCCGATTATTTTAGTGCACTTCTTATTGTTGTGTGAATTGTTTAGGCTGATCGATTGTGATGAATTTTTCTTTAAATTTTAAATAAAATTGTAATGATGAAAGAATTACCAAAAGTTCACAATCCAACAACAAATATTTCAATAATAATAAACAAAATAAACTGTATAAATAGTTTATTCTTCATCTTGTTCATCTTCATTATTGACTTCTTCTTCATCTTCATCTTCCAAGAATAAATCTTCATCAATATCATCCTCTTCAACGTATTGATTAGCAGCAGCTGCTTCACCAATTTTACTGATCAAAAGTTGTTGACGTTCTTCAAATATTTCTCTACCACTTTTAGGACCTGGTAATTTCTTAGCCTTTTCAATTCTTTGTTTTTCCATAATTTTCTTTTGTTCAACAACAAATTTATCACGCCACTCTCTAAAGTTTTCAATAGTAACAGGTGTTCCTCGTCCAATATTTGATGCTAATACTTCAGAATCCATTGTAAATCTATCTTTTGATGATGTTTCATCATTCTTTGTTGTTAATGATGATGAATTATCTTGTTCATTTAGAGCAGATTCACGTTGTTGATATTGAACTAAATATTCTTGAATTGTACTAGCAATAGTAAATACACATGATGTACCTAAAAATTGATTAGCTGTTTCTATTAACATGTCTTTTAATTCACTCATTTCACGTTT